AACTTCTGGAAGAAGTCTTGGACTTAGTTTGTTTTGACTTGGGCAGAATAAGTACTCTGAGCAGCATGGACCTGTGCCCTGAGATTGAGCACTGTGTTTCTTACCAATTCCAAGCATCAGCTGTTTTTCCCCAAGGCTCCAGGTGGTCTTAGCTGTCCCCGCAGGGCTGGCAGGCCTGGGAGCAGTCTCCTGTTCAGAAAGGAGATAATAATGAGACTTCTGTATTTTGCAGTGTCTCATGGCTCACTTCTTGTGTTAACCTGCTGATAGGTGGTAAGTCTGGTATGCAATCTTTTTGGAGGCAAGCACGTTCCTTGAAGGCCAGGCTTAGCTGTTTGAGGGCTAGATTGTGCTACTAAGGCATTTGTGGAGTAGGAGAATAGAAAACCCCTGAAGTGCTGGGAAAAACACTGCAGAGCAGACATTATGTTGTGAGTTTAGCGGCTGGGAGTGGATTTATCTCTAGAGGCAGGGGCTCAGTGTTGAGGAGGAGAGCTGATGCCCTAGCCAATATTGCCGTCTTTGCAGGGACCTCTTGTGTGCTTTGCTGACTGCAAATAGGTGCCTGGAATGGAAAGGCAAACCAGAGAACAACTTGCAAAGAAGAGACCTCAGCCTCATTCACCTTTCTTTTTCAGTGAACTCAAGAGCTTCAGCTGCATCCGTTCCACTCTACTGAAAGTGCTGTGGTCCTAACCCTTTCTTACAGAAGCTCTAGCTGATGCTATTTATAGTTGTGCTGCTGCTGCTACAGGCTCTTGTTAGCTATTGTTATGCAGCATATGTGTCCAAGACAGCTGCTGCAGAGTGTGGTAGTTGTGTTTGTTTTTATTGTAGAAAGGGTGAGAAGGAGGTATTCTGCACATCTCCCAGAGCATGTATGAGACAATTTAAAGTTGGAAGGTCAGCATATAAATTTTGGTAAACTTGATGCAACTCCTAGTCTACCTCCGCAAGCTGGAGGCTTAGGCTTCCTCAAAAGTTGAGCCATTGGTTCTCATCCTTGGTGTACTATTTGGTTTTGCAAGTATTAAATGCATGAGTATTCTGCCTGAATCTACAGTTATCTTGGATGAATGTTTGTCTTGACTTTTTTTAATTAAGGTTTAAATTTCTGCTCTGAAGTCAGTGATAGCAGGTTGGGACCAACCGTGGTGAGTGAAGGTGCTGTCCAGTGAAAGCTCTTCCGCAAAGCCAGGGTTGGTTTTCTGCCCCTCTCAGAGCAGCTGGACATGACAGTGCCCTCGAACCAGTGCCTCTTGGCACTCTCTGCTCACCATCTAGCTGGGAATGCAGATACGACTTCCGACAAGCAAGGAGTCTAATCTGTGCTAGCAGGAAGTCCAGCAGTTAAAGATTAGGATATATCCAGTGGATATATCCAATCCTAGCTGTGCTTTACCCAAAACAGAAGTGCCAGGCTGGCAGATGCTGTTATGCTTCAGAGTGATGGGCAATCAGGCTGTTCTGGCTGCCTGCCTGGCAGTAGGCTGACCTGGGAGGCAGTTTGCACCACCGTACCCAAGGGAAGAGAAGTAGCTTGGATGGTAAAGCAGTGAGAGGTTCCAAACAGCAGCTGGGCTGGTCTGTCCAAGCACCATGGAGTATTGTCTTCCTAGCTGAGAACTAGTTAACTCTGGTTAAGTCTAATGATGCCTAGTAGATGCTTATCTAGGTAGTACTTAATCCCAGAGGGCTGTTTATACTGTGAATCCTGCTGTGTACTATGGATCACTGTTTCCTAATGACTTGATATTTCCTGCTGAGCAAAATGGAGAATGCTCAGCCAGCAGGAAGGCATAACTGGTTAACAGGAGCTCTCCAACAAAATGTCTCTAATGAGTCTTCCCAGTTGCTCTAGCTGCAAAGCTGCAGGAATGATTTGCGTAGACTATTCCTTGAATACTTAGTTCATGTCTAGTCCTCACCAATTTTGATCGGTTTCTGTGTAGGGGGAGTGGTCTTATAAATCATCTCATCCGTCAGTTAGGTGACCCTAACTCTCCCAGAAGGGAATTCAGCTCCAAAGGTGGGTAGGAAGCTTCATGGTGAAGGTACCTGAAAAAAATGCGTACAAATAGATGGTGAAAACTTGCTTTCTGAAGTGCCAGTAATAGCGCTTTCCCTTGGTGCGAAAGTGCAAGGTGGTAATTAGACAGACAAATTAACATTCCTCCTGAGAACATGAAGTCTAAAAAGGGCTCTCCTTATGAAGTTCCTGTAATTAAAGATGACTTGGTGTAGTTAGATTATTCATTTCTAAGGATGTGATGTGAATGGCTAGTGTTCATCTCTTCAGGCTGGTGACTGGGTACCCAGAGGGGTTTTCACTGTGCGTTCGCAGGTATTGCAACCGGAGGATCTCTCCACCAGAAGGCACGTATGTGCTCTCTGTCAGGTTAACGCTCTGCGGTTCACGTGTACCTGCTGTAATCCAGAAAAAGTTTTTTGCAGGTCACATAGCAAGCTAATTTGGAATTACACTTGACTTTTCTTTTCTGGTTCTTTATCAAGGGATGTCTTAAGCCCACGTGACTCCTGCGTACAAACAAGAAGAAAGGTATGCCCTAGACTTGAATTTCTTGGGTCTTGCTGAACAGTGATTTTGAAGTGTATGTACACAACCTGCAGTACTTTAAATCATACATTTGTATCTGTAGGAATACACAGAAGTCATGGCATGCTGCTCTTCTATCTCATGTCCTATAATTCTTTGAAGAGCTGTTACAGTGTGCTGTCTCTCTCCAGTGTGTTTCTGTGGGTGTGAGATAGTGTTAATCTCAGGAGTGCAGTGGTTTTTTTGACTTAACATAAGTGGGTTTCCTAAAACTTACCAAAATGACTAAGTAGCCAATTGGCTTTTTAAATGCAGTGTTGAACAGCAGGAGCAACTTTTTAAATGTAAGAGCTTAAAAGATTGATTTTTAAGATTTTTATGCAAAAATATGAGTGAGAAGGAAGACAGGAGAGCTTGGGGGCAGTGGAAGAAGCGACAGGAGACTGACACAGGTAGGTTTGGGAGGAAGAACTGAGAATGGGATGGTGTGGATTCAGTTGGAGAGGGGTGTGTATGCGCTAGGGAGGGGAGTGCGACAGAAGCAAGAATAGCAGCAGTGGAGATGAGTTTCCTATAGAAGCGTTGAAAATGCGTTGGAGTATCTTCCAGAGGGTGCTAGGGTGGAAAAAAGCTGTGTCATTCAGGAATGCTGTTCCTGTATCCACGCTGCGTGATAGAAATGCACGATTCCCGATTGGGTGATGATTTTGTCATCCTGTACTGGGAGATGGATCTGCTGTATCTTAGGGTGCTGAGCCTCCTGGGGTTTGTGCAAGAAGCCATGTGATTTGTCCTGACCTCAAGGACTTACGGTGTTGGGTTAAGATGAGTTGATCTATTTTTATTTTAAAAGAATGTGCTTAAATAGATGGAGCTCCTCTGTTTCCCCTTAATCAAATAAAAGGTAGTTAAAAACTAGTCCAAATCCTTAAATCTGCTTTAGACAATAGCAACTTATAGCAGTGTGTGTAGGCAGGGATTTGAAACAACTGTTGGATTTAGATGAAGCCAAATGCAAACAGAAAACTAAAAAGCAGTGGTTCTTTCCTCTTCCCCCGCTGCCTGCCCTTCAGCTCTGATCCCTCCTCAGTCACAGCGTGGGTCTGGGCAGCTGCCCCCAGCCTGGGCTTCTGGGCTTCAGGGGTGGTTTCCTTCTCTCTCTAGCATGGTAGAAGGGGGAACTGCCACAAAACTGTACAGCTTGCTCCTAGGAGAAGGAATGGCTGTGTAAGTTGCTCTTGGTAGCACAGAGTGTGAATGCAGAGCTGGCTTTTGCTGGGCAGTAATGGAATAATTAATGCTTTATTGGTAGTTTCCAGTGAATGTGTGATACGCATGTGTAGAGGAATTTGTTACTTGAATTAAATGGCTTTTATTCCAATTCCTGTCGCTCTAGTGTTTTCTTTCAGGAGTAGTGACTGTGCCTAGAGGGTTAAGGGCAGCTGGAGCTGTGGTTCATGGCAGGCTGGATAGGAAGCCTATGAGGATGGCTGCTGGGGTGATTCTGCCTTGAATAGGGTAACAAGTTGCAAGTTGCTTGCCTGTAGTTGCTAGCACTTCATAAATGGTACCTTTGAGCAGTCTGGCTAATATACCTAGCTGTGTTGCATCTTGAGGGATAAGATGACTGCTGCTACTTCAGAGTGCTGTTTCTGAGTCTTTTCCACCAAAACAGTGCTACTGCGCTGGGAATACTGAGAGCCAAGCAGCAGGTTTTGGGCACTTACCAAGCCTTTGCTGAAAGAATAGGCTTCTAGTAGCTGTAACAGGCTGAATAAAAATCATTCACCAATTAAAGGGGTCAGATCTGCATATTCAATGTCAAGAATGTTCTGGAATTTATTTAGTGTCTATAGTAGAAACAACTGTTAAAGTTTTCTGCTGCTCAGGAGGGTGAAAGGGTCTGTCTGAATTTGTTTGCTGTGATAAGACAAGGGGAAATTCAAACCAGAGGTTTGTAATTGCTGCAGTGGGATGCTGAGTTGCCTTATCCTGGGCATAGCTCTGGATCTGTAATGTCTCTAGTTTGGGGGGGGGGTGGGCAGGATATGTGTCTGTCTTTTTATCCCCTCCACCCTCATGCATCCTAGGCATGCGTTATCAAGCTCGGATAATAGCTGCAACCAGGGAGGAATGCAGAGGGCTTTTATCTCTTTAATTATCAGCATCATTTGCATTAGGAAAGTGTTTGAGGAATGGTGTTCATGAAGAGGCTGATTTCTTGAATTAACGCTAAATATTAAGAGTTACATACCTTCTACCTCTCTTTCTCTATGTGATGTAGGCTGCCTACTGTCCCTGGAAGACTTCAGCTGAAGCTTTCATGGGCCAAGCTCTCTATAATTTATGGAGATTCAATTGTTGGAAAAAGCATGAGGCTGACACAGATTTTCATAGTGGATCCGCTTCCAGCGTGTGATCTTTGCTTCCATTTCTTGTATGTACGCAGAAAAAGTAGAAATGCAACCAGGTGAACTGTATTGTTCTGCTCACTCTTTCTGAAGTGGATGAGCCCAGGAAAGGAGGGACAGATGCTGTCCTCTCATGGAGAGGAGCAGAAACAGTCATTTGGACTGCAGATTGATGGTATGTGCCAGAGCAAATCTGTGCAAGGGTCTCTTATCTAGACAAAGCCCACTCTGGCCTGCCTACTTGGGTTCATTTCCCAGCTAGGTGGTGATGAAGAATGCCTACCATCCTTTAGTGACCCTTCCTGTTAAACAAAGGCACTAAGCGTACTTGTTTGAAAGCTGTTGTTTGGCTTGTTTCCTTCCTCTTTTATTCCCCCTTCACACCACCTCTGAGGGCAGTGCTATAACCCAGGCACAAAGTTGTTGTGAAGAAACTAAATGTTTCATCCAGAGTAATTTTAGATTTACATCAAAACCACCACCACCTTCCTTTCCACTACCACAGAAACAACCTTGGTGTCTTGAGAACCTTCCCAGAAAAGATCCTGGGTGCTCTGAAGCTAAATATGACACGAGAATAGGAAATTTATATCTTCGTAATGTTTGTTTGCCCTGAGTTTAGTTGTGTGACCCATTCACAAGTTCTTTCCTCCTCTATTATGAGGAAAAATGGGCTTGGGAAGAGGAATTGTGAGTTCCTGCAGTGATGTCTTAATCGAAGAGGTATCGCTGACTTGCATGAGATAATCTCCTGTTTGCAACTCATTTACAGGATCTTCCTCCTTTAAGTGAGGCTTAAGCTAATATGGTTTACTTCATAAGTGGGGCAGACTGATATGTGTGGACAGTTATGGCAAATCAGCTGATAGGTGGTAATTTGCTAAGCAGCTTGAGTTGAATTTTGTCTGCAAGCTTGAAATTTGCTTGGTTTAAAAATAAGTCTTTTGTCCCAGTGAGTTATTAAGCCTTCCTTCCCAGTACTCTGTATCAGTGCGACACAAATGCTTCTCATGGGAAGGTAAATCAAGATAGATGATGTTCGTAGATATCTCACAGTGTGGAGAAGAGGGCATGGATAATGAATCTAGAGGAACCACCACTACCAAGTAGTCGATGCAAGCTCTTTGTGTCTTGCTTCTAAAAAATGTAACAAAACAATCTGTATTTCATGTCCAGAGAAGGCATACGTCTCCTGACATAGCAATGGTAGCTCTTGCAGGAGCCACTGGAGAGCTGCTTGGCTGGGTGGATTTCTGGTTGCCTATGGCCAGATTTGAACTGTCCAACAGGTCTCAAACAGATTTTCATTATTGTGTCATAACCAAAACATACGTATTGAGAAGGGATGGTGTTCCTCTGTTTGTCATACGGATGCTATACAGAGACTTGGTGCCTGCATGGAAAACAAGGGTAACTGTTTACAGGTGGGTTTTTTTTTTAGTGGTTGTTGAGGAACATGACTACCGCAGCTACCCTTTGGGAGGTGTGCAGCTTCCCTTTCTGTGGAGAGTGCTGATGTGACTACCAAGGGGACTGTAGTGGTAAGCTGTGCATTACATAGCTTGCCTTTTAGCTTTAACTCTACCCTTTCCTGTTCTCTCTGCAGCGCTGGAATTGCCGTTGGCTTCTATGGGAATGGAGAGACCAGTGACGGCATTCACCGGCTGACGTACTCGCTACGCCATGCAAACCGCACCGTGGCAGGTGTCCAAGACCGAGTAAGCACTATGGGAGACTTGCTAGCAAATGGGGACTATGGGAACTAGCAAACTTGCTCAGCATCTCTTCCCTTGAATATGGCTGTGCCTGTATCTCTCCCTCTTTTTTGTTAGTCTCTGGGCTTAGAGATGTGCTAAAATTTTCATTAATGGAGTGGTGATTTCTTCAGCTCTTCTAAAAATAGCAAAGCAAACACAGCTTGTTAAATGAAGTCTTCTCTTTGCTAGGTTTAAAAACAGCTTCTGATCAGCTCTCTTCCACACGCTAGAAGAGGAGGCAGACCAAAGCAGACAAGTCTCTTAGTAAAATGTATCATTTCAGTACAATCAGTTGTTCCTGTGCTATCTCTAATTTCATGGTATTGTACTGCAACCCTGATGGCTGCAAAATGTGTACATGTGTTAAAGGCTCAGCTGAGATGCATCATTGGACCTCTTGCAAACAATTTAATTCATAGATGCTTATAAGTTGCTGTTGAAGGGTAAGCAGTCTGGGCCTCTTAAGACAGGACTGGTAATCTGGAAGCTGTGCGTAACTTGCTAGCAAGGATGAATCCTCTTTTACTTCCTTGATTTCCTGTCCTTTAATTATTTTTATTTTTTTCTTTGCCATACTATAGGTACTAGATACCGCAGTGGCCCTGAACCAAACAGTGGAACCAAACTTGCTCATCCTGGAGGAGATGTTCACAAAGCAGACAGACTACCTGCATGTTATCCAGAAACTGCAAGGTCTTTTGGATGATTTGGTGAGGCAAACAACTGAGATCCCCTTTTGGAAGAATGAAGAGGTGTCTCTGGAGGAGCTGGCAATTGAGATTGACCTCTATGACTGGTACAGGTGTGTAACATGCTGTAGTGTAGTGGTTTTAGCATCTGTTTTGGCTTGTTTTGCAGCAGTGATGTGTGTTTTCTGGGTGGCTGAGCCAAAGGCTATATATATTGCTGCAGGTGCTATTGGCCCACCCAGCTGATTCATTTCTTACAGCAAAATTGTATTTGATTTAAATCAAAATGCGTGACAATGACTTTTTTCTTAACTGTGTTTATTACCATCTGAAGGAAAACATTCTCAATGTACAAAATCTGCAGCTTGTGTTCTAACACTGGGGAAGAAAACAGCCACAGACAGAGCTACTGTTGTGTACTGATACGTGCATTGTAGTTGTGTGACACATTAACTAAATAGAGTAGAAAACGGCACTAGTTCCATAAGTTAACACAACATTCCTTTTTATTAAACATATTTAATAAAAGATTTCCATGAAAGAAAACTGCTATTCACGTGTATGAAATAAATAACTGAAGCATTTTCCAACAAATGTCTAGGAAGTTCAAGAAGCTGCAATGCCTCCTCTTCACCCGGTGATGTCCATTTTCCTATAACTTTACGCTAGAACAAGATTAGCCGTTTTCATTTCTCAACAACTGTGTATGCTGGGCATGTTGTGTAAATGCTTTTACCTGCCTCCACTCCAGACCCAGCAAATGGCCAGAGCCCTCTGGAGATGTATTGTTAGTTGTGGCTTTTACTTAAGGGTTACGTTTTTATCTGTGACTTTTATACACCAGTTTTCCTTTGCAGACTATGTTTTTGTTTGCTGCAGGTGGCTGGCATACCTGGGCCTGCTCCTCTTCCACGTCCTGATCTGTTTGCTGGTGCTCTTTGGGCTTATTAGAAACTCCAGGGCCATTCTTATGGGGTAAGTCCTGACCCAGGCACAGTGCATAAGGAAGGCCAGCTGAATGCAAATGCCTGTTTAAAATGCTAGTTGAAACCTCTAGACTGTTATCAGTTGCCATCAAGGACTCTTGAGACTGAACATCTTAAATTTGCCTCTTAATGTAGAGAGACTTTGTAGAGTGTAGCTCTGTGGGTAGGATTAGGGCTACACATGACAGATGTTCACAGGAAGGCTCTTCAGCTATAAAACACGGCGGTACTGGTGGCCATTGCTTTCTCATCAAAGACGAGGAAGTCATCTGGGCAGTCTGCCGTCTGCTGGGTGACGCTGGTAGTCTGTTTGCTCGGAGATAGTGATGTGAATATCCTCCCTTAAATGTACAGACTTGAAAAATCTCCCTTTAATTCTCTACAGTTGTGAAGGCATTTGTTAATGGCTGATAAGCATTGCATGTGTCTACACAACCTGGTAGCATGCCTTTTGTGTCACGATCTGTTCTTTGTTTACCTTTGGCTGTCACACCTGAAGAGATACTAAACTGAGAACAAGCAATGGTTTGTACAGTTACGAGGAGGAGTCTTGTTGCCATGGTACTGCAATATTAACGTGTGTCTGTTTCTAAAAAGCACTGCAAATGCTGCCATGCTTGCGCACCATTACAAGAAAAAATATTCCTCTCCCTATCTTGTAGCTTGGTTTAGCTTGGCATATTTGGCAAAGATATGGGTATCATAAACACAGAGACAGTTTGACAACTGACATGGCCAAGAGTTTATCCTGGTACGTGGTGATGCCATTAATAATTGGAATGCATATTCAGATTTATTATTTGCCAGATGACTTCATACCTGGCAGGTTACACAGACAAAAGTCCAAGTGTATGCACAGATGGTAAACCCAGGGTTTAAATTAGAATCTCATTCCCTGTTAGCCAGAAGTTCACACTAAGGCATTCCCCAAAGGGAGCACATAGCATAAAGGAGCAAGTGTATCACAGCCAAGCAAGATGGTGAAATGCCAGTTTTAGATCTTTTAGCCAAGCAATCAGATACTGACCTAGTCATCTTCATTTAAAGTAAAACAAAAATGTGTCTTATTGAATTGATTACCATGCTCAGCTGGAGGCACCAAGCCGTGTTGTCCTTCCATCGTAAAACCACAGAACCTTTCTGATCCATGGCTGATGATTTTTGCATCCATTTGGAAATAGCATAATAAAGTCTTTAGCCATCTTATTCCAGAGTGCTGCACAGCGATCAGTCTGGTGAAGCTCCATGACTTCTGCAAGATGAGCCACAGATCTGTTCAGAGAATGGGGATTATTCAGAACTAAAATAAGCTGGTAAACTGAGGCATCTTATTTTTTTTTAAATGTAGGCCCATAGATTTATTTTTTTAAAAGCTCTAGTCTTCAGTGAGACAAATGTAGCAGAAAAGATGTATGTCCCTTCCTCAGAGATGCTTGCACTAGATTTGAATAAAGACTATCTTGGTTAGGAACAGATTTTTGTTTTCTTTTCTTCAGGGGGTGGGTGGGGCCCTACTCGTGTTTCAAAGCCTGAAGGTAAAAGCATCCCTGAAGAGGGCAAGCCAGTGCCCCTTTACTTTGAAGACTGGGATACATAAAATGGCACTGCTTATTAGTCTGCATCCCCATGCCTGAGGGAGTTGAGGAGCACTTTTGCCTAAACATCTCTAGCACTCATGCTGACAGCAAAGGTGAAGAGCTAATGGGCTGGTTGGAGAAGGGCAAAAGCCTTTTCCACTGGTGTGTGCTTAGCTGAACGTCGCTGAGACCACTGCTCTGTCATCCCTCTGCCTTGCTGCTTGATAGCAGACGCTTCCCACTATTTCTCTCTGTAATGAGGTCCAGCTGTCGGAACAAAACTCTGAATCTGTGCAGAGATGGACTTGCATGGCAGTGTAAGCACCTAAACTGTTGCTCTGAACTGTTTGCCTGCAGGTGACTGTCTCTCCTGGGGCTATGAGGGATGCTTAGGTGCTGTCCAGATGCATGTAGCTTGGAACCAAAGCCAGGTGTCCTAATAGGGGCTGAGTGTTCCCTCCCACCGTCTGTAGCTGTGCAGTGCTTACGCCTGATAACCTTGTTTATCCTAGAAACAGGAGGGATTTGTCCAATTCTGGATCAGTATGTTTTTGTGGGATTTTTTTGAGTACTCATTTTTCCTTGAGTACCTTTTGGACTCAGAAAGTAAAGTCCAGAATGGGAACAGAGGAAGTGATGGGACTGTAGTCATCCATCTGCCAATCTGCATTTCCTACAGCCACCCTGGTGTCTCTGTGCCTTTGGCTTCCCTGCTAGAAGCAGGGCAAGACTTTGCTTCCACCATCTTCTTCCTTCCCCTGCAGCCCCAGGGCCAGGTAACATGAGAATCAACAACTGGATGTAAACCTCTGGTCGCTGCTGTCCACGACATGGGAAATGGGATGGTTTATCTGAAGATGCAGTGGTTGATAATTTCTTGGGTTTGGTAATTGCTTTGAACTCCAAATAATACATCTTGTGAAAGGATCTGCTTGAAATCAGAGTTTCTACATCTGCCATCTGTCTGTCTCCCCACAGGGTGTGCTTGCTTGGGGTCTTTGCCCTGATTGTCAGCTGGGGCTCCTTGGGTCTGGAGTTGGCTATCGCTGTGGTAAGTGGCTCTCATCCAAGTCCCATTCACCCCTTGCGGCACGTTTATCAGACATGACATTAATGTTATGCTGTGCCTGTTCTACAGTGCATCTTGTTCGAAGTAGCTGTCCTAGCAATTTGCATCTATGGAAAGTACAGAACTCCTCCTTTCTCTGTGGTGTGGTGTGCTAGCTACTACTCCTGCACTGCTGCAGTTGTGTAAAGCAGTGCTAGTGGGGATGACGATGAGAGACTTCAGCATCTGAAACACCCCTATAGTAGAGCGTTCCCTGATGTTAACCTGGCTCAACCACTCTTTTATACCGGTGTTCTTTGATATTTCTTTTCCCTTTTGTCTTGCATCTATATCCAGGGCTCCAGTGACTTCTGTATTAACCCTGATGCTTACGTCTCCAAAGTGGTTGAAGAGAACACAGTGCTTAGCGCTGGTAAGTGCTGGGACTGGCTTTTGCACAGGGTACTGCGGCTCCAGCTGTCGCATAGGAGCATGGCAATGGCTGAGAATTTAAGGCGTCGTTTGGAACAGAGGAGCCTGCGTACAGTGGGAAAAGCAGGCGTGTGTGGAGCTGTGGAAAACCAATCTTCTTCCCAAAGAAGCATTTATACCCTGTTCAGAAGCACACATGTACACTTTTCTTTGTCAGAAGAGCCCTCAGAACCTTTCTTCTGTCTTGGCCCTTAGGTGGAAACACCTGATAAGATGGACCAGAAGTCCCTGGATTATTTTGCTTTAAATGTAGCACTCTTGAATCTTGTTCTCCTCTCTAAGTGACAGAACTGTGGCAATAGGAGTGTGCAGTTTGAGTTCTCATTTTTAAAACTTGCTTTTGGGTCTGTATTCCTGAATCTGGAATACTTACTTTTATATCTGTTATCAACAAATATATATCATTTTTTCTCTTAATGGTGGCTATAAGTAGGAGATCCTTTAAAGCCAATTTAAAGGGTAAATGAATGGAAACAGCCACAAAGAGAAGTATGAATTTCCCTTTCCATTATAAATCTAATATTTTGACTGCTTTTTTTATCCTGTTCCATTTAAAGCAATATGCCTGCATCGCAGTGGCATCCAGCTGAAGCACTGTTGGATTTGGGGTTTGTCGCTCCTAATTTAGACTGAAGTGGTTGGTGAAATGAGGGGCACCTCCAGTTTGGACCTCGAAGGGGCAAAAGTGGCTTTAAGAACTGTGGCTTAACAAAAAAGTGGTTGGGTGTCTGCCAGCAGAGATACTGTAAGTGCTAAAAAGGAAAAGTATTTTTCAGGACTGAGTTAGCTGCTTAGATAACAAAGTTAACTTTTCTCCCACCTTCTCTCCTCCAGTAGTTCCTCTATATAGTTCTGTGTATGATAAAACACAAATAAGGAATGAAACTAAGTTGCAAAAGGAGCCACTTGTGGCTTTTCTGGTTCTTATTTAGTGGCAGGAGAATTCAGAGAATATTCAGAGAATCTTTGCCTTGTGTACAGAAGGTCTAGCGTATGGCCGTGCGCTCAGCCAAATGCTGCCTCTTACTGTGCAACTGGTAGGAAATTAGGTATGTAGCTATGGCTGAGAATGGATTGGAAGCAATAAGAAATGTTTATGTCTGGAGGCAGAATGTAGTATAAAAGAGCATGTACAGGTTAATACTACCATCCTGCAGCTTATTTTTGGAATGCCTTTTTTATTCATTTCCTCAGAAGAAGAGGATAGAGCCAGGCAGCTCTCTTTGTAACAAAGAAGTGCCATAGGGGAAGAGAATGACTGTTTAGCACCGCACAAGATGAAAATCCTCTCGTGGCTGTGAAGGTGGCGAAGATGTGGCTTCAGGTACCAGGCTAGTCTCCTAGTTGTTCAAGGAGACAAACGGGTCAGTGAGGCCAAGGGGAAATGTCTGATGCTAATTCCAGCTGTGAGCTGTAATGATGTGGTAACCCAAATCAGCTCTGGAGCATGCTTGGTAACAATTAGATTGACCCTGGGAAACTGAAGAAACTCCCCTTTGTGCTACTTCTCCATTTCAGTTGTCCTTGTCTGCTTGGCTCCTGCGGTTTTTTGTTATTCAGTGTCATTCATTGAGAGGCTAACGGTGAGTGCAGGACTGACATTCCCGTCCCTCCTCCTGCTTCCCCCAGCAGGGACAGTCAGCTCCCCCGGGTGAAATCAGGCTCTGTTCTGGCAGCACTGCCAGCTATAACAGTTGTGAAGGCTCCATAAATAACAGTGAACGGGTCCAAGCGAAACGCTGAAGAGGAGGAAGAGCAGGTGTTGTCACAGGCTTGAGTTGGAAGGGTGGCCCCTTCCGTGGGTTGCTGGTGTGTCAGATCCCTGCTGTCAGGCAGCCGGTGAGTGTTCATGAGCGCCTTTTCCTTTTTTCCAGAAGGAAATCAGTCTTAACTTCTGAGCCTGCCATCGCACTAGGCAGCTGGTTGGGAGTTGATTGAATGTTCTGCCTTCCCATGTGGATTTTCACTGCTGCTTATGATCAGAAAGCTACAGAAATAGCTCTTGGTCCCCAATGTCAGGACTGTCCTGTGCACCTGAGCAGGAAGGAAAATCACAACATGAGGATTGCAGCGTGGAACTGTTCCATGACGCTTTAATCCCAAGAAAGATCTTTAAAAATCTGAAATAAGCGTTGGTATTCCTTAATATGCTTGGCTGTAACTTGTAGCAGCTGCTTTGTGGTCAGTTGAGCCATATATACGACGAGAGTGATGAGCTTGAGGAGACGGGGCAGGCAGCTGGGAGCCAACATCAATGCTGTCCTCTCTCGGAGGAAGCTGCCCTGTTTGAAGGCTCCCAATTCTAGTGCACGGACTCTTCACGCTCTCTAGTTTGCTGCTTCTGCCCTGTGGGTGATGCTCTCTGTCATTAACGGCAGTATAGACACATGAGGCAGAAATGCTTCAAGACTGCTTCAGCTAGTTTCACCAGAGTGTATGTGACCATGATTTTTCAGCTCAGAAAAGAGATGACTGAGAGGGTGTGAGTGGATGGAGGGGCTCAGGCAGCGCATGGTAGAAGAATCCTTTGGGAGTTACCATATATGTAGAAGTCACATTTACCCTGGGAATCACTTGAGCTGAAGTCGGGCTGAGAGGGCACTCGTGTTCCCATCCTCCCTGGGTGTAGGCTTTTGGCCAGTGCTGGGCTATGGCATACTGCGCTAGGTGCTGCTGCCTATTTTTAAGGATATAAGAACCGAAAAGTAATCTTAAGAAGCTTTGTAGTGCTGGATCAGTTTTTCCCTTTAATCACTGCTGTTTGTTTTTTTCAAATATGATGTGTTATAATATTCCCAGCCCTATGCTCTGGCTTTCAGACTAGGATTGAGTCATCTAGGTTTGCATATTTGCAATGCTTTTTTGGTGATGGCTGTTACAGGAGTTTTCACAGAAAAATAACTGTGGTGGATACTGGGCAACTAGTATGTTAATATTCCTGTTTGTGTATTAATTGCTGTTTGCAAATCTAAATAGAATTAATGGAGCTGAGAATAATCTGATTAAGTGGATTATTATTGTTGTCATGTTTTTAGCTGAAGAGGAGATGTCCTTGTTTTGTAGATAAAATGTGCTGCATTTAAAAAAAAAAAAAAAGGAGGGGGAATGGGGGGCAGAGAGCCTTAATGCGGGTTTCCTGGAGAAGGAGAGACTTAAATCATTTTGCAGAAGAGGCTGATATATATGCCTAACTCGCCCAGTATTCATTAATTGAGATAAAGCCAATGGAGTTGAACAGTGGCTGTATAATCAGCTCCTGCTGCTAGTAAAAAGACTTGGTGCAGCCAAGATGTTTATTTTCAAAGCAGGAGGCCATCTTCTAGGCTCATTCTTTTTCATTGATATTATGTTATTATCAGATGACTTATTGCACAAAATTAAATAAAAAGGCACAATCTGTCTAAACAACAGGAAGAGCTTTCTCCAGATGCTCTTACTGGAAATCTGCGTGGCAAAGAGACACTTCCTTCATCTGAAGGAACTGCAAACCTCCGGGGATAGATAACGGAGCCTTCTACCTTCAGTCCAGCCAAGATGGTTAGGCTGCGTGCTGAGACTTAGCTGCTTAGATACATGCAGCAAGCATTCTTGTCTCACATGCCTCCTAACTGGCCTCTCACTGATTCACTCGCATCTTAGAAGCCCAGAGCTGGATGAACTGGAGGATGAACACCACCACCACCTCCCTTTCCTCTCTAGAAGTAAGGTCAGGACAAAACCTCACGTAGGGCATGTGGTGTTTGCACAGTTTTTACTTGAGCTCAGCAGGTGCTGTAGAAAAGAGGTTGCCTAAAGAAGTGCTGTCAAGAATCCTGCTGAGCTGATGCCGGTGTCGAGAAACTGTGTTTTCCTGCATGGTTTTGTTGGACTCCTGATTAGCAGAAAACTTTAAGCAGAGGGCATGTGGGATGGCTACAAGCTCTTTGCTGAAGGCTCGCGATGACTGATTTCACCAGCACAAGTAGCATATATGAGAGAGTATAAATGTTATGCAGATATCTCCCTTTGCTGTCAGACCATTGCCTTAGGGAAACAAAACTCTTGGTGAAGAACTTCTTACCTGGGCATGAAAATCTGGCCAGAAGAGTCGGTCTTCCTTTGACATCACAGGTGATATACTTCAAATTTCTCTGATGATTGAACCCACAGAGACAGTCTCATCTGGGTTTATATGTAAAATGCAAGCTGCTTAGAGAATGCTCAAGTAGAGATGAAGGGCTGGGAAAAGCTGTTCTAGGTGTGGTTTTTGGTTGTGGGTTTTTTGTTTTTTGTTTTTTTTTTTTTAATTAGGATTTTTTT